CCAGCCACAAACTCACTCTGAAAGGGAAGCACTAATCCTTTCTCCTAATACATGATAAAAAACTGGGTACAAGGGTCCATAATCCTTGTACCATACAGGTACAAGGGTACCCGTAATCCCAGTACTCTGGGAAGTTGAGGCAGGCAGACTGCAAATTTAAACCCATCTTGGGCAACCTGGAAACTTAAGACCCTGACTCAAAAGTGGAAACAAAGTAGGGTGGGGCTGGGGGCAGAGTTCATCACTAAGGCCCTGGATTGAATCCTCAGTACCATGGAAGACCCGGGGGACACACCATAGAACCTGCATGTGTGGGCCTAGATCCTCCTTTCATCTCTGGGCAAAACTGTTCACAAGATACCAAGCTCCTCCACCATTCAAGTGGAGTATCAGTTATAGCATGATCAAAACAAAAAACAGCGAGAGATTCCATAAGTAAAACCATTTGCACAGCTAGAAGCGTAAAGTTTAGGCACTGGCCCAAAAGGACTGAACTGAGGGAAGAAGGGAACACATGAGCCAAAAACTTTTAGGAAAAACCTGATTCATCTGCTTACTCAAGTTAAAGTACTTGATCAATAGTAAGGAATAATCCCCCATTTTGTCACAAATTAACCTCCAAGTTCCTCAGAGAGAATGCCTTGCAGAGCTATAATCCTTTATGAGGAGCACAGACTCCTGGTATTCCCCAGGTAAGGACTGAGGTCAACTCATCAGACATGGCTTGCAAAGATTTCCTGTAAGCAGAAACCTATGTTGAGTACTTTCCAAGACTCAAAAACCATCCCAAGAGAAAAGAGCAAATTAGCATTGCATTGCCTTTTTTCCAAGTGCTAAGCCCTAAGAAACTCAACATGTTATGTAGTTCTGATTCAATCATGCCAGACTCCCTTGAGCCTATAGCCACTGAACCCCAATTCTGGCCAGAGTTCCACCATTGAGCATAACCACCAACATTAAGAATAGCAAGAAAATCAGTCCAAAAATGAATGTCACTTCACTATCCCCAGCCTCCTTTTAGCAAGACCACACCATTTACAGGAGGGAAAAGGGGCACCATGCCAGCAGAGCTCTTTCTCCCAGCATCATTAAGCTATGGTGGCCCTTTTTACTGACAAAACTGAAGCTGGGCAGAGAATTTTAGAGTAGTGAAAAAAGTGTCCAATGTTACAGCTCTCAATCCCACAAATATGAGAATGAAATATAAGCAGAAAATGCCCCCCAACAAAGACAGATAAAATCTAACCCCCAATATAGCACTTCACTATCAGTCTGGTGACATAGCTAGGCAGGAGAGTGCTTGCCAAGCATATACAAGAATCTGGGTTTCATCCCCAGTACCACAGGGGAAAAAAATCTTTGCTATCACCTCCAAACCAGGCACAGACCTGAGCTCTCAGAGACGCCTGCTTTCACGGCCCACACTATAGCTATCACACCACCCATTCTGTCCCACTGACTTTCCGATTCAGGATTCCCCTGCTTCCATCCTCTCCTTCCACTTCCAATTACTTTCAATAACCAACAAGGTTGGCATCACAATACAAAACTTTGGCCTAAGGATTTCAGGTAAAGAGATGCTGAAAGAGTCTTCATCTCCTTCAATGAACTAAAATTCACTGGGCAGAATTTGGAATTTAAGGAACCAATATAGTATGGTGGCAAATGATCCCTTTAGAACAGCCATAACCTCAAGACTCGTAATTTTTGCTCATAAGGAAGCACAACTGAAATGTTTTTTCTTTTAATTTGCAATGCTGTGGTTGTCCCAGTTTTAAAAGCATTTAAAAAAAAAAAGATAGGTTCTCACTATGCAGTTCAGGATGACCTTGAGCTCATTATGTAGCCCAGACTAGCCTCAAACTCATGGGGATCTTCCTGCCTCAGTCTCCTGAGTGCTAAAATTGGGATTACAGGTGTGGACCACCATGCCTGACCTTAAAGTCATTCTGAAACTCTGGTTAAAACTAGGTGTGGTGGCAGAGGTCTGTAATCCCAGCACTTGGGGAAGCTAAGAGGATCACAAATTGAAGCCGACATGGGACAATTTAGTAACTTAGTAAGACTCTGTCATAAAAAATTAAAAGAAAAACAAAAAACAAGGATGTAGCTTTAGTGCTAAGGTCTCAGATTCAACTGCCAGTAACACAAAACAAATGAAGAAACTCAATTAGTTAAATTCAGTGGTGCACATCTGAAATCCAAGCTACTTGAAAGGCTGAGGCAGGAGGAATGCAAATTTGAAGCAGGCCAGCCTGGCAACTTAGTGAGAACCTTCTCAAAATCCCAAAAAAAAAAAAAAAGGAGGAGGGTGGTGCCAAGGCTGTAATGCAGTGGTAGGGTACTCAGCTGGCACACACAAAGCCCTAGGTTTAACTATCCATAACAAAGTTTTCAAAACCCTAATTAACTACAGCCAATAATAATATAGTCAGTGGTGTGTGTGTGTGTGTGTGTGTGTGTGTTTTGCTGGGGATCAATCCCGGGGCGTTGTACATGCAAAGGAGGAACTCTACCACTGAGTCACATTTCCGGCCCTGGTCAGTGTCCTTAAATAATATTTCAAAACATTTTAGACCCACCCCTCACACAAAACCCTGTAGACGGGTGTCCTTCTACCCCCTCTGATTCATTCACACCATCCCTCTCCTTCCTCACCTCCTCACATTAGCTCCATCTCAGCACCAATTTCACATGCCCTTTATGAGGTCTTCTCATTTTTTCCAGCCCACAATCCCAGATTCTGAGCTCTGCAGAATGTAGATGATTCACTCCTCCATCAAGATATCCTCTACTGTTCTAACAGACTGCTCCAAAGGTCCCTTAAACCCTCTTCCTCAATCTACACTCCCATGGTATTCCCTCATCCAACCCTTTGTCCTGTTTTTGTACCCCAATTCTAGGACACAAGTGGAAAAAAAGAGGAATGTTCCCTCCTATCTGTTATCTTCTTTATAGAAGGAGCTATTTACATTACTATCCTGAGCTTTCACCTGAGATAAAAGGATAGCTATTGCCCAAAGGAGTACATCACCAATGGATAACATTCAGGAGAAGAATATGACTGTATCAGCAGAAACCAACCTATGGATTTTTTAGAAGCACATTTATGTACATAAAGACCACACATGTGTTTTCAAAAGTCAGTAAGAAAAAAAAATCTACCATAATGAATATATTTATTATGTATCACAAACATAGTAAGTTTTTTAAAAAGGAAATCCAAAAGGTAAAGTTTTTTTTTCTTCTTCACACCCAAATATGTATATTACTAATAAGGAATTGAAGTAGTTTAATAGTATGTAAGCTTTCTCCAAAAGTAAGTTTTTAAATTAATGTGAGACATATGAAAACAATAATAACATATCTCACTTTGTTTTTGTTTTTGGAGTTTGTTTGTTTGATACCAGGGATGTAACTCACTATCTTGCGCTTGCCAGGCAAGCACTTGTGCTGCTGAACTAAACCCCTGGCCCTACATATTTCATTTTGAATACAGCTTATAAATATAATTTAGGGAAACAAAGGACTTCACTGGTCATGACCTGCAGAACCAATAACTGCTTAGGCAACTCAAGAGGACACAATCTTGCTTTGGAGATTATTCCTTTTCTGGTTTTTGATTTTATGGTACTGAGGAATGAAACTATAGCCTTTGAACTGAGCTACATCCCAGCTTTATTTATTTTATTTATTTTGAAAGAAGGTTTTGCTAATTCACTGAATCACACAGACTTGGCTTGAACTTGTGATCCTCCTACCTCAGCCCCTTACAATGCTGGGATTAAAAGGCACATCCAGCCACAGCTGGCTTTATTTTTGACCAATTAAACCATCTCAGACAAAATGTGGTCAGTCTAAGGCTAGCACTTAGCAGGGTACTGAACAAATACTTGAAATTTTTCACTCAACGAAAAATTAATCTGCCTTGATTTCTGGTTGGTTGTTTTAGTGCTGGGGATTGAAACCTTGAACAAGGCCTTGTACATGCTGTTTAAGCACTCTACCACTGAGCAAACTCCCCAAACTTCTCAATCTAACGTTTTAGTCACTTCTACCAGGGACACTACTTAAAAGCCCTGACTGCCCTAAACATTCACCTCAAAAATCAAGGCCATGTCATAAACGTTCTGGTAGAAGAGCCTAAAAAGTTATCACTCGGACCCAGCCTTTGTTCACCAAGGTCCAGGACTCTGATCACACACTATCCTTGCAATCCTTTGTCTACCCTTGTACCAGCAAAATGAGGCCCTCTGGCTCCAGTTTCTTGTTCTGTCTCCTCACATGTTCTAAGCTATGGCAAAGGCAATCCACTTAGTGCTTTGTATACCAGCATCTCAATTTCTACCCTCACTTTACTTTGTATCCATAAAAACTTGGGTTTTTGCTGTCATCATTTGTTTTTTCCAATACTGGGATTGAAATCAGGGCTTTCCCACTGAACTATCCCTGCCCTTTCTATGTTTTATTTTGAAACCAGAGTCTCACTAAGTGGCCCAGGAAATATTCAAACTTGTCTTCCTGCCTCAGTCTCCCTCAATGCTGGAATTACAATTGTGCATCACTGCACCAGGCAACACAAAGTAAATTTTGTATGTTTGCTGGTATTCATTTAATTTCCAGGCTATTCACAAATAAGTAAAAGAAACAATACACACTTATTTCACCAAATACTTTAGAAAGTCCTAGACCAGTGGTGGTAAATGCCAGAGTACACTGTTTGTATCACTGAAAGCTCTAAAAGTTCACCGTCACTGTCCTAGACAATGAGACGACCTGCATACTTCTCAGCAGAATGACAGACTGTTTTACAAAACAATAATAATCTCTCCTTTTTATTCAGTTTTCTTTCCATTTATAGTCCTTCCTAACCACTGGCATGCTGATTAACTTGAATAAAGAGGATTCATAGGCAGTAAATATTGATGATAAACTATTAAACTCTCATATTACAAACTCCCCACTAAGTCACATGTAAAACTACAACTCAAATGTCTTACCATCCTTGTTAATAGCAGTGACTTTGGCTGGGTAAAAACGACAATCAGACCAGCAAGCAAGGACCTGCTCGTTTATCTGAAATTCCTAAAAAAAAAACATTAAAAAAAAAATCCTGTTACAAATTAAATTGCATAGGATTATACCAAAATACCAAAATTTATAAGAAAGGCTCTGTTTGATAATCACTGGTAAGGAAATGGTCTATTGAGATGGAGGAAGACAATTCTGCTGTTCAGCACTGGGAATCAAAGTAATGGGGGGGGGGAGAATTGGGAAACAATACCTCCCCACTTCAAGAGTGGAGGCCTAGCCAGGCATGATGATGAGAAATCATCCCATACGCAAGATGTGCCCTCAAAGTGAGGCTAAGAATCCTAGACCACAGGAAAACACCCAGTTTAAGAGCTGGAAAGAATAAGCCTACTTCATCTCCAGCAAAGCAGTACTCAGGCCATTAAATGCCACTCCATATTTCCAAGGGATCTTTTACCAAGGGAAGTATCCATTCACCTTTAGTAACTTATTTTGTTTTCCCAAAACACTATTTGCATTGGTAAATTCAGTAAAATAATTACTGAATAATCAAATGGAGCACTACTGAACAATCTTAACATGGAGGGAGAAAAAAATCAATAAAAGGCTAGCCAGACAAAAAAAAAAAAAGACTAGGGATATAACTTAGCAGCATAGCACCTGCCTGGCCAAGTCCAAGGTCCTGAATTCAACTGCTGGTACCAAAAAAAAAAAAAAAATATGCTGCCAGAGTTCAAATTCCTTAGTGAAAGTTGAAATGGAAAACAGAACCCAGGCTGAATCAAATCCAAAAGTAGCATGACTGATACACATATTTCAAAGATTGAGATATAGACAGACAGATAATTTTTTTTTTTTTTTAAGTTAAGAGTCTCATTATCTAGTTGAGGCTGACCTGAACTCACTTTGACTTTGTAGCCCAGTTGGCCCTAACCTCGAGGCAATTCACCTGCCTCAGCCTTCCCATTGCTGGGATTCAAGCATGTGCCACCACACCTAGCCACTTTAAAAATTTTTACACTAAAACTTCACATGTCAGTGCTCACTTCAGCAGCACATATATTAAAACTTCATATGTCATTTTGAAACCAATACAGTGTACCTCCATTCATAAACTTAATTCTTCTCATAATTCTGATTACAAACCAAATTGAGTAAGAACTGAATCAAATTCAGTGATTTTAGGTCCCATGTCGACCTTATGGGAAAATTTGATGCAGTTTTCTTTCAATTCAGTTTGTGACCAGAAATGTAGAAAGAATTAAGTTCATCAACTGCACTACCACTCCAAAAATTACAGGCATAATAATGAAATTTAGGAAAAAAAGAAAAGGTAGTCCAATCAGGCATTCTGCATACAAAGCAACACAAGACATACACATGAAATGATTATACAACAGATAAGTTTAGTAAGTAATCTGGATGTCTAGGTAGTATATCTAGTACACAGTGTTCTAGATACTACAGATCTAGAACTCAACTATTCCTTTATGCAACAAATATATACAGAAGATCTACTATGTTCCAGAAAGTGTTCTAGAAGCTAAAAAAGCAGAAGTGGAAAAAGAAATACAGTGATAGGCGTGGTGGTCTATGCCTTCCAGCATTCAGGAGGCTGAGACAGGAAGATTGCCATGAGTCTAAACTTTATAGCAAAACCCTGTCTCAATGAATGAATGAGAAATGATGGCTCTGGTTCATCATAGGTCCAACCCCCATGAAGTTTGTTTATAAACTGTAATATTAAACACATTAAACAGATGAAAACTGGGGTTCTTAAGAGCCGTAGGTACTACAGAAATCTCAGGATTACAACTAATTACCAAAATAAGGACAGGTTCCCAGCTGCTACTGACTTTCCCACTAAACATCAAAAGCCAGAACAGAACTGCCCAGTGGCTAACCCCGCTTATTACAGAACCATCCAGGATCTATTACTCACAGAAGATCCATCCTCTTCATGTAAACCCTCTTTCCTCAGCTGTATTTTCTCTAAAGGGCGTAAGTAAGGACTGTCCCAGCAAAACCACTCATCATAACGATGGTTCCAACGCTTGAAATGGATGAGTACTTTTCCTTCTTCGTAGTCAATGTCTTCTATGTGAGCTGGATACCTGAGTCAGAAAAAATTAAAATTCCTTTAATACCAACCAAAAATATACCAAAGGGTCTCCTTCCAAACCTCCTTCTTCAAGAGCACTATTACCAAAGTACTGAAGGCCTATCATCTGGAGATGCTGTGCAACTGGGTCAAATAACAAATTATGGAGAATAACAAACTTGACTTCAAATCTCAACCTGAATATATGTTAGTTTATAAATATTAAACTCAACCATGCATGGTGCCACACTCATGTCATCCAGCTCTTGGGACCTGCGTCAGAAGGTCTGTCACAAGTTCAAGGACAGCATAGGGTACAGAGTGAGTACAGGCCAGCCTACAATACACAGGGAGGCCTTGTCTCAAAATAATTAATAGATATAATAATAACATTAAGTTATATATAACTTAATAATAACTTTAAGTTATATATAATAACATTAAGTTAAGCTTTCAGAGTCCACTTAAAGTAGGTTACATTGCCAGTTAAAAGAGATGACACAGGGCCAGAGATTCAGCTCAGCGGCATAAGTGCCTGCCTGCAAGCACAAAATTGTAGCTTAAATCCCGTGCCCCGAAAAAAAGAGATGACCTAGTATCTATTCTAGGCTTGAGTACATAGGAAGTAGGAAGAAAACATTTAACGACTAGATTATATTTAACATGTGCCAGTAAGTTAGAATAACCATGTGTGCCACACTGAAATAGTCTTAATTTTAAGCATTTTATAATCTGTATAATGGGATAGTATCTAGTTGTTAATAAAAAATTATTCTAGCTGGACATGCTGGTACATGCCTGGGATCCTAGCACTCAGGAGCTGAGGCAGGAGGATCACTGCAAATTGGAGGCCAGCCTGGGCTACAAAGTGAATTCAAGGTCATTCTGAACTGCATAGTGAAACCCTGTCTCAAAAAGACCAAAAAAAAAGATGATTCTACACAACGCAAAATTGAAAGAAACTTTCCTATAATGAACTATATTTTAAATGATGTTAAATGTGATACATTGTGGCCTATTACTTTTGTGTTTTGTTTTGTTTTGCAGTGCTAGAGACTGAACCCAGAGTTTCATGCATACTAGATAAGGATGCATAAGAAACAAACAGCAATGGTTTTGGAAAAATGTAGTCAGTTTAATAGACAGGTTCTCTGAGCCTTTACTCCACTCTCCTAGCCTAAAGCATAGGAAAGGCAACAACATTTCTTTAAACCTCCTACAACTGACAACCAAGACCCACAGGTTAATGCTAGGCCTGATGAATTAGTGCTGGGCCTCACAAGCTTTTGTGTACACCAGGGACTGTCTTAAAATGTGGCTTCTTCCCCCAAAAACTCCCACTAAAAAATTGCTAAATTTAATAATAAGCAAATTCAGTAGCGTAGCTGGATACAAAGTTAACACTCAAAAATCAATAGCCTTTCTGAACCGGAAAAACAAACTCACAGAGAGAGAAATTATGGAAATACCACCTTTTACAATAGTATCCAAAGAAATGAAATACTTAGGAATCACTCTACCAAAGGATATAAAAGACCTCTACTTTGGGGCCAGAGGTTTAGCTCAGCAGCATAAGCGCCTGTCTGGCAAGCGCAAAATCGTGAGCTCAATCTTCGGTACAAAAAAAAAAAGATCTCCACCTTGAAAACTACAGTACTACAGAAAAGGAGATTGAAGAGGTATCAGAAAATAGAAAGATATCCCTTGCTCTTGGGTAAGAAGAAAAAATATGTGAAAATGGTCATACTTCCAAGACTGTTACACAGATTTAACGCAATTTTGATCAAAATTCCAATAGTATACCTCACAGAATTAGAATTAAAAAATCCTAAAATTCATTTGAAACCAAACAGACCTATAACAGAAAAAGCAGTTCTGGGCAACAAAGCAAGGCAGGAGGCATCACAATCCCTCACTTGAGATTATACTAAAAATCAACTGTGGGCTAGGGATATAGCTCAGCAGCACAGCACCTGCCTGGCAAACACAAGGTCCTGAGTTCAATTCTTAATACAAAAAAAAAAAAAACAAAAAGAAAAAGCTACTGAAATAAAAACAGCATGACACTGCAAAAATAATAGAAAAACAGTCCTGAAGATCAATGGAACAGATTAGAAGATGCAGAAACAACTCCAAACATACTTAGCCACCTTATCTTTGACAAAGGTGTCAAACACATTCACTGAAAGAAAGATTGTCTTTTTAATAAACGGTACTGACTCCGCACATGCTGAAAATTAAAACTGGTCCCATATCTTTTACCATGCACTAAACTAAATTTAAAATGCATCAAATATCTAAACATTAAAACAGAAACATTAAATCTGCTGGAAGAATAAGTAAAACTCTTGAGGGCATTGGTATAGGCAAAGACTTTTTGACTAAAACCTTCATCATACAAGAACTATCACAAAGACCCAACAACAGGGATCTTGTCCTATTAAAAACGTTTATACAGCAAGAAAAACCACCAACAGAATAAAGAGACAACCCACAATGTGGGAAAAAATGTTTGCCAGCTGTTCCTCAGACAAAAGATTAACTATCAAAAACATAAGGAACTCAGAAATATCAGACTTTCTGAATTTAAAGACCCAATCCAAAAACAGGCATCTGAGATACATACATACTTGTTATATGAAGAAATACAAACAGCAAATTAATACATGAAAAAATATTCAACATAACAGGTCATTTGAGAGATGCAAATTAAAACAAAATTGAGATTCCATCTCACCCATGAAAGAATGACTATTATAAAGAAATCAACCAATAATAAATGCTGGTGGGGCTGCAGGGGTGGGGGGACCTTCTCCATCACTGGTAGGAATATAGACTGGTGCAAATTCTCTGGAAAATAGTGTGGCAATAACTCTAAAACTAGGATTGAAGGTCCCACTTGACCCAGCTATTCTCCTGGGTATCTTCCCAAAACAATAAAAAACATCACCACAGCAATATATATGCACCCATGTTTATAGCAATGTAATTTATAATAGCTACTTTTTGGAAACAACTCAAATGCCCATCAACCAAGGAATGGATAAAAAGAGATGGTCTTTTTATACAATGGAGTACTACTCAGTCCAAAAGAAGGATAAACTAGAGACTTTTATAGGTAAATGGATGCAACTTGAGATCATTCTGACAAGTGAAATAACCACAAGCACATGACTGTATTGTCTCCCTACTGTGAGAAGCTGAGAGTAAATAAGATCCAAATGTACAATAGATATTGTGATGGGATACTGAAATGGGAAGAAACTATTCAAAAGAAAAGAGAAACTGCAAATGGGGGAAAGGAGAAAAGAAGGAAGGAAAAAGCAATACACACACACACACACACACACACACACACGATACTTAAGGCAGTTATAGTATTGATTTCTCTTAGTTCACTGAAAAGAAAGGTTTGTGTTAATATTGTATAGACATTCAAATGCCTATATTGTGTACTCTGAATAACTAATTTAAAGATAACAATATGCAATGTATTAATCAGTTACCCTCCTATATCATGTTTTGAAATTTTGCTGGCTTTTTTTCCTCTTTAAAAGAAAAATGGAAGGGGAAGAAAGAGGAAGGCCAGGCAGGGCAGGGCAGGGGAGGGGAGAGGAGGAGGAAAAAAATAAAAGAAAACATGGCTTCTGACTCAGTAGGCTGAGCTAGGGCCTAAGAGCCGTGACATGGTTCCCACATGGTGCTGCTGCTGGTGTGGCCTGCAGCAGCAGAAGTCACATGTCTGGTCACCAGCTTCATAAGTATCCAGCAGCAGTGACAGGGAGACAGGAGCTGGACTCTAGATCACATCTCCAGTTGTGGGCCTCCCAAATTGGTAGTCTTAAGGATAATCCCTTCTTGATTCCCACTCCTCCAACCCTTCCAGTAATTTTGTGAGTACCCAATGTTCTGATAACACTCAAAATGGATTCTTATGCCAGCACTCAAATTTGGTGACATAAGAGGGAACTGTGGCCAGGCATAGTGGTACATGTCTGAAATCCTAGTACTTGGGAGACTGAGGCAGGAAGATCACTTACAAGTTCAAGGCCAGCACAGATGCACAGTGAGTTGAAGGCCAGGTTGAACTACAAAGCAAAATCCTGTCTCAAAAAGCAAACAAACAAAAAGAAGGAAAAATTGGAAACAAAGCTTTTGTAAATGAGTAGGGCAAGAGAGGTTGAAAGGTAAAGAATGGGGTAAAAAAACAAAAGTTGTACCATGGACAGGTACAAATTCTTTATGATGAACATGACCATTGTGTACATCTAAATGTACCAATAAATGATTGAAGAAAAACAAAAAAAGATGTAACTGTGTAAGGGGAAGGGTAAAATAGAAAGGAAATATTCTACAGGATACCTTTTAATATTTTTCAACCATGCAAATGTTTTGCCCATTTCAAAAACAAATGATTGGTTAAAAACAAAGAAAAATACTATACACAGTAGTTCTCTTACACATACATGTATTAATCACATTGCTATTCTAGACTGAAAAAGTTTGGAGTCTACCTTATATTTTTTCCTTACAACTTGGATTAGCACCAGGTGTATCCTTGTCTTGTGTCCAGCTCCTAGGATAGTACTGTCCTAGTAAGCATGAGCTTTATAAACGAACAGGCTGCTTTCTGCCTGCCTGCCTGTCTACTGCATCATCTTCATTCTTAAACCAGTGTCCTCTAAAGCATTCCGCTTGACACCAACCGATTATCAAAGTGCCCTGCACATACTGAGAATTCAATAAATATTCAGCAAATGAATTCTGATCTCCCTTTTCTTCTCAGAGGTCACGTATCCTATCAAATTCCAAGTTTTGGGAGGTGTTTTTCATTTTTTTTTTGTTTTGTTTTGTTTTTGTTTTTGGTCTTTTTGAGACAGGGTCTCAGCTTTGCAGTTGAGGCTGGCCTTGAGCTCACTTTGTAGCCCAGGCTGGTCTCAACTGGAAACAATTCTCCTGCCTCAGTCTGAGTTCTGAGACTACAGGTATACACTACCATGCCTGGCTAATTCC